ATATATATAGATCATGGTAATAAGGATACAGTTCAGCAGATCAGTCATAAGACCAACCAAAATTGGATACATTAAACATTGCCTAAAAAGAATGCACCCCTAAAAGCCCCCCACCCACCACCCCCTCCCTCACATCTCTAGGACTAATAGATCTGAACACACACACACAACATCATGTACAAAACCACACAATAGTGTTACAAATGTGGATGCATCATTACACTCACCATTTCTACATCATCACCATCATGCAGCATAGAAATGTAATTGCTCTGTGATGTGGAAGGTGGTATTATACACACATTTGGAGGGCATCCCTTCCCCCAGAAAGTCACCACAGGACCCTCCGTAAGGCATCTTCTCTCCTGTCTTTTAAGATGAGATGGGTTCGTAAGGGTAGGAGAGCCAAGGGTGTTTTAGAGCCTCCGAGGCAGAAGGGCGCTTCTTTGGGTTGATCTCTAGCAGATGAGTTAAAAAGTCAATGAAGCCTTGATCCCCCATCGGCAACCGGTGCCTTAAAGACGACTTTTTGGGGATAAGGTATTCCAGTCTGTTAGATTCCTGAAGGGAAAAATGCAAAAAAAAAAAAAAAGATCAATAAATAGCAACAGGGCATATAATCATTAAAAAAAACTCAAGAAAAGAAACAAGCAGGTGGCATATGAGAGATTTACCTGATTTCGTTCATACAGCATGTGGTTTTTGGTGAAATATTTGTATGTATCTTTTCCTTTGGCAAGCATCTCTTGGTCAATTGGAGCTATAATACCAATTACCCGAGCAAGTAATGTGGCAGGAGAATCGTTCTGGAAAAGGACCTGCAGAGCAGGGGGGGAAAAAGCTGTTAAGCATTTTTCGCGGGAATCCCGTATATGAAAGTCAGCTTTTGATTAGTTCATCAACAAAACCACTCTTGGGATGCGTCTCTCAAGAACTAAAAACTACACATTAAGGCCCTGTTCATTTAAGTTGGAAAAATTAACTTCCAACTTCTTTCAGTTTCTCCCAACTCTTTCCAATTTCTTCCAATAGTGACTTAAAAAAGGTACTTATATATGATGAATATACAATAACATTATATATCCAAATT